GTGCCGCCCACCGAGCTGGTGCCGTCGGAGCGCGCCGTGGTGCTGCTGTCGTGCGCGCTCTCCGCGCTCGGCTCCGGCCTGCTGGTGGCCACGCACGCCCTGTGGCCCGACCTGCGCAGCCCGGCACGGCGCCTCCTGCTCTTCCTGTCGCTGGCGGACCTGCTCTCGGCTGCCTCCTACTTCTACGGGGTGCTGCAGGACTTCGCGGGCCCCTCGTGGGACTGCGTGCTGCAGGGCGCGCTCTCCACCTTCGCCAACACCAGCTCCTTCTTCTGGACCGTGGCCATCGCCCTCTACCTGTACCTCAGCATCGTCCGCGCGGCGCGCCAGCCTCGGACCGGCCGCCTGCTCTGGGCCTTCCACGTCGTCAGGTGCGTGGCGGCGGTGCCGCTTCCCCTCGAGTCCCCGACCCCCACCTGGGCCCTGCTTGCTGCCTCTGTGGCCCTCGCGCCCTTCTGGCGCCCGCGTCTTGGTCGGACCCCTGGCCGGGGCCCCACAGGGTCGTGTCTGCTCATGTTCCGAGGCAGTCGGGGGGCCAGCGGGACGATGCGGACGGAGAGGTGCACCTGCCCGGAGCATCAGTGCAGAGGGCGCCCCTTTGTGCCTGCCCTAGCCCGAACCTTCCGGAGAGGTGGGGGGCCAGAGCTCGGCCCTCATAACTTGGAAGCACCTGGAGAGATGGCGAGGACACCTATGCCTTTTGCCTCCTGCTTCCCTGCGTTCTGGCCGTTTCTACTGCCCATGGGGAGAAGCTCCTCATTCCCAGGCTGCGAGATGAGTTAGGTGCTGCTCCAGCCTGGAGAGGGGGGCCGCTCCCAGTCGCACCGTGTGTCACAGTAGGTGTGATGCATTCAGCCACTCGCGGGCTAGCTGCCCGCAGCCAGATGCATTGTCGCAGCTGTATTACAGAGTATCGTCTTCATGATTTTGTCTTTGTGCATCTCTAGACCCAGACGATCTTGACTTTCTAGGGTTTGGTATCTCTGAGGGTGAGGTCAGTGGCAGGGTCTGGTCTGGAAGAGGGCCCCCAGCTGCCTGGAGTCTATGAGAGTAGAGTCAACTGAGGGCTTTGCCCAGCCCTGGCATTAAAGCACCTCATCAGGTAACCCTCACCCATGAAGGTTGACTCCTTCCGGGTGCAATTCCAAGATTTGAACGTCCATGGTGTCCTGCACTTCACTCAAGGCAGGAATCTTATAGGGCCTGTTTCCCCTTGTCCGTCTCCCAGATGAGAACACCAAATACTGCCCTAATTATAGGACCTCTCTGTTAAATAAGCTTGAGTGCTTTCCATGGGACTGAGGACAGTCAGCACTTTGGTAGAGACAGGTCACCTGGGTGTCACAATGGTGAGATCACAAGCCTGCAAGAGTCACTTGACCTCTAGGTCTCAGAACTGCTGGAGGAAGGCCAGCTGGTCCCTGGGAAACTAAGTGGCCTCCTTCTCAGCTGTTCATGTCAAAGTTTTTCAGGGAGCCAGACAGTACCTCAGATGCTGCAGAGATCCACAGGGGCTGCCTTTCCTCCCCTTGCAGCATCCCCCCGGCCCTGGCCTCTGTGTATTTCAGAGACCCAGTCCTTGGTAGTCTGGTTGGGTGTGGGCAGCATGTACACCAGAGTTCACATGTACTTGAGAAGGAGCCTAAGATAGGACCTTTCTTTGCCAAAAATCTCTTCTCTTCCCCCCCACTTAAAAAAAGAATACTGAAAACAATATATATATATATATATATATATAAAAGATTTTATTTATTTATTTATTTGATACACAGAGAGATAGAGAACACCAGCAGGGAGAGCAGCAGGCAGAGGGAGAGGGAGAAGCAGGCTCCCTGCTCAGCAGAGAGCCCGATACGGGACTCGATCCCAGGACCCTGGAATCATGGCTGACGCTTAACCGACTGAGCCACCCAGGCGTCCCGAAAACAATATATTTTTTAAGTGATGAAGAGAACCTGGTACAGCTCCTATAGAAAAGATGCATTTGCTAATGAACCTGAGTGGGAGTTCCTTCCATTCAGTCCTAGGGGTGTTTTTTGTGATGCTGAGGAGAGGCCTCCTAAGAAAGCCCATGGGTCCTCCATGCTGGCCACGAAAAAGAAGGGAGTTGTTCATCTTGCCCGTTGAATGTGATCCATCGGCTTCTCAAAAGAAAATTACCAGGGTGCCTGGGTGACTCGGTTAAGCCTCTGACTCTGATCTCCGCTCAGATCTTGATCTCAGGGTTGTGCGTTCAAGCCCCGCATTGGGATCCACACTGGATATGGAGCCTACTTTAAAAAAAAAAAAATTATCTATATCCAAGCTACAAAGGGAGTTTGACAGTTTGTTCTCTGGAGTTCCCTTTCAGAAGTTAGCTCTCAGCATCTTGCTGGTCCAAGAGAATTGGTAGAAAACCTGTCTGACAGGTTCATTTATTGACCTAGATCCTCCCAGGCTGTATTGCTCATGACCTTGCTAAGGGCTCTCCAGTGGCTTTCTTTGGAGTATGAGTTTATAATTGTTAAAGACCTGTTGGCATGATAAATTTCATATTCAGACAGAGGCTGCACAGTCATCCACTTTTTAACCAGTTCAGACTACTGAAGATCAGTCCTCGTCAGACCTTCAGTTTGGGAAAGTATTTTAAAACGTGACAATGTAGAGGTTGGGAATGTCTATTAGTTTTTATGAACTGATGTTTTTTTAAAGATTTTATTTATTCATTTGACAGAGAGAGACACAGAGAGAGAGGGAACACAA